ATGAAACAGAATAACTAATCTTTCTGCCCTGAGCCGGGTTTCGAACTTGAGTCCTTGAGGATTGGATGATCAGTGTCCTACCACGCAGCTATTCAACTCCTCTATTGATAAATAAACTATTTAAAATATCTTTTCATCGTTCACTGGGACTATTTTAGTACTATAAATAATTTTCTATAGCTCGAACCTGACATAATCTCTTTTGATGCAAAGATACTAATGTTTTAGTAGTTAGGAATAATATTATTGAGTCTATAAAAACCTATATTAATAGACTGTCATAGTTTTCCTATTCACTTGAATTTTTCTGATGCATATTTGCAAAGATAAGGAGCTATCCGCCACAGCCTAGATCATACCATTGAATATCTAATAACTTTTTTTTTTTTATTGTTTGCTGCTTCTAAACTTCCATCTAAGAAAATTACGTTGTTTCTTTCATTCTTTCGTCTGTGAATAGAAATATTTAGATTGAAATGAATATTGTTATCAATTATTATAAATGTATATTTATACAGTAGGACTATGTTTACATTAGGCCATATTTTAATTTATTTATAAATGTTTTGATCTCTTCAACCATCTGGACTATTTTCGCCCTATATTACAATTCTATCAATAACTACACACATAACAAAACTATAGCTAACAAATACAATTTAAAGTTTAGAATAGTTACAGATGAATATGATAGTACAATTGAATCAAAGTTACAAAAATTGAAAGTTAAAGATTTAAAAGGAGATAAGCTAACAAAGACAATCAAAATAAAGGTTAATGATTTTAAGAACAAAAGCTAAAATATACATTTTTAAATAATAAAAATTAATACTAAAAGAAGCGAATTGAAAGAGTACAGTTTAAATATTAAGAAGTACAAGAACCATTAAAATTAAATATTAAAGATTAGAAAAATTTAAGTTAACAGTTAACAAGGACATTTAAATAAAAGGTTAATGATTCGAGGAATATAATCTAAAAATACTGTTTAAAAAATAAAATTAATATTAAAAAAAGAAGAGTTAACATTTACTACAAACCCTTCTCGGACCATTATGAATTATACTAAAATTAACTAGCATGTCATCTCATGTAATCATTCAGCCAAATTTTAATTTGACATTTCTTCTTCTCTAAAAGATTTTAGTGAAAATTTATATACATTCATTAAATAAAACAATTAGAAAAAAAAAGTTTGGCCCAATAATAACGAGTAGTTTTGGAATTAGGGTCACTTCAACTTGTGAAATATTTGAAGATAGGAAGATAATTTGAGCTCGAAACTAGTTTGTATCAATTTGGGCTTTGCTATGTAAAATCAAAAATCATTCATTTGTTCTAGAATTATAAGATATCATTATTATTAGGATTGTAATTTTTTTTTATCATAATACAATTTAAATATTAAAATTTACAAAAGAAAAATTGAAAAACGATTATAATGAAAAGAAGAAAAATTAACAGGTATATTTACAATTTGAAGAGAAACCAACAAACTTAAAAAACTTAACAGGTATGTTTACAATTACAAGATGTGATTAAATTTTGTGAAATACTTTGATTTCCTTAAGGAACAATATTAAGTTTTTAATAGCTTTGGGATCATTTTTCAAAGCTATTTTTGAAAAAAAGTAGATCCCTAAGAGATTGGAATTCATTACATTCGGTTAGGATATGGTTCACTGTGAGAGCTACCCCGCAGGGAATACAATGAGTAGGAGAGTCTTTCCTCATTAAATACTCCTGAGTAAGCCTAGTATATCCGATCCTTTGCCGGGTCAGTACCACTTCTTCCCTTCTGGTCAGCATGATATTTGGAGTTAGTCTCTGGAAGTATGCATTAGGTCATGCCCAGCCTACACTTGACCTCTCAGACTAAATAAATAATTTTGTATTGTTTAAAAGATGATATCTCAATTTTATAAAAGTTATTTATAACTTGAAATCTATTTCAGGTCAAAAGTACGTGATTTTTTTTCTATACAATTACCAGACTGGAGAAAATCGGTTCTTCTGATAATTAATTTATATCCCATCCTGATTTTTTTTTTTTTTTTGTAGTTTAGAATCCCTTGAAGACTTTTCGATAAATATGAGACCGTGAATTCCTAAATGCTAGACTACCCGAGGTGGATACTGGTACTGGGAGGGTAGGGAAATTGAAATGTTTAGCGGTGCTTCGGTGAGATAGGCTTATTTCCTTGACCTTAACAAAGTTTTCCAGTTTGTCGAGCGTCGTTTCCTTCTGCTCTGTCTCAATAAAACTTTTTAAATTAACTTCGAATCCGAGAACATGAAGCGTACGGAATTATGACGGTGGAAATCATCTTAAAATACTTTAAGAACACGATGTCTTCGGAACCCGGACATTTACAGTTCAACGATAATAAGGTCGCTATTCCATTTCTTTGGGGCTGATGGTATTCTATTTCTGTGCGCTATTTTTAGATACATAAATACTAATATTCTTCTGAATTAATAAATAAATTATGTATCAAAACTAGCGCAATAATATTTTAATAACATATACATACCAGACTGAAACGACAAGAAATCGCTTGACGTTTCCGATTACTTCAGCTAGAAAAACGCTCTAAACACGCAATTAATTACAAAAGACTCATATACATGACTATAATAAGGCTTATTTGGACTTACGGAGTTGAGCTATAGGCTTCCACTAAACCATCTAATTCCTCTCGTCCAATCCTTCGTAAAATCCTCATTCCTACTTTGTTACAAATAAAACCATCCATTATGGCCTTAATGTTTCTTATGTTTTAGATCTGGTCCGATCCAGATACCTACCATTCCATAATAAACTTCAGAATCATCCCAACCCTCTCGTTTCTAAAGTTGCTTCCTCTTCAATTCCTGATAACCCTCCGAGGCATCTGAAAAGAAGATGGCTCCGTGATCTCCTAATGTAGATATATCATTAGAGTGCTAACATTGGGTAGTTACTCAGCAAGTGTTTTAACGTCATTATATCCATATGTTCAAATTTACTAGACGTATTTTTTTTTTTATAAAGTTGTAAATATCATTAAGAAATAATAGTAATAAAAAAACATATACATTCATTTCAATGAACCTATTTTTTTAAAATTTCCTTTGATGACTGATAATTTTATTGTATGTTTGTGAGTGAATACGTTATAAAGTTGCAATAACGTGTTCATTTCAGTTAAAAAAGTTAAAACAATACTAATTATATATTTAATATGGATATAAATACTAGATATCACAGGCTCCTCTGTTGTTACAAAGTAGATTGCCCTACAGTTTAAATTAGATTTCTTTTCCAAAGGTATCGTGTTACCAATTATTGTTTGTCCTAATGACTAGGAAAGACTAAGAAGAATAAAGAAAAAAGGCTAGAAATCAAATCCTGATTCCAAAAAGTTCCTGTTTGTAATTTAAATATTACAAAACTCATAATGTAACTGAACATATTGGATTGAAGATGTTGAGATGAGCATGTTACTTATTCCACTATTGTATTGATTGGCAACACAGATAATGCATTACTTACTTTATGAATTAATACCATCACTTAGATTTTTGAAGGAATATGGTGGAGTATTTATTTACTTCTTTCTTGTCTCTCATGCCGCTAATTTCGTTTTTTCAGCTGTCCAGGAATCCATTTCTTCTTTAGAACAGATTTCGCCGAAGCACTAACTTCTCCAAGCGATTCCTTCGTACTGTTCCAGGCCCGACAATCATTTCCAAATATCTTTCCTAATAGACCTCCTCAGTTGGAGACTCCTCTTCAGCAATGGTCTATTTTCCAAAGTTGGCTGATGAGACAGATGGACAGTTTCAGATGATTTTTGATTTCGGGGATGAAGTACGAATGTGTGCCGATCGATTTGGCACGGAAGTGAATAATATACAACCATCGTTTACAGTAAGGAAAGTAAGACAGTCCTTGAGAGTAAAGTCCTTTGATGGTTGGAGCAAATGTAATTGGCAGGGAATTGGTAAGTCTCATTTTCTTACCGGCTAAAATGGACGAGCGCTATGTGTTTCTATGAAGTTGAGCGTCAACAACACTCTTCTCCGCGGATCAACAGGAAGCAAAAGCCAGATCAACGAAGATGCTGGAGTCTTCTACCACAAATGTGACCAAGAGTCAGAACCCCAGCTCATGTTTAAGATAAAAATTTAAAGAAACAGAAACCTGAACTTCAAGAAATGAAGAACTTTAGTTATTTCCTCGAAGTTTATTTTATAGATACAGAAGGTTCTCCAAGGTTTGTTGAAATTTTAGCATTTTATGTAATAAAAAAAAGAGACGCTTATTGTAAACCCCGCGTTCAGGTTTGAAACGAACAATCTAGATCAAGACTTTAAGGTGCAGATAGAGAAAGGGAATTTTAGAAGCAATGCACAAACTACATAAGCTCAATGCTATAAGTGAACAAATATGTACAATGCCAGAAACTATTGTTTTAAACCCGTTGGGAATATGCCATCACCACATATATTAATCTTTGCACGTATATTAACCTGTACACTGACTTTTTAACATATTTGATAATGTCAAATAGAGCCTAACTAACTCAGGAAGGTTATCTACCTATGATAAAGTGTTATTGTGCTTCTCAGTGTTTTGTGTTTTTCAAGTTTGTTTTGTTAGTTTTGTTGTATCGTTTCCTACTGTTTGTGTTATTTTAGTGTTTTATAGTTTTTTTGAACATGATTTAGTTTTAGTTTATGTTTATTTAGTTAATTTTATAAACTTTTTGAGTGAACAGTGGAGGTTAAGGTTAACTTTGTAGTTTTCACGAAGGTTTAATCTAACCAAAAGGACGTTTAGAGACTATTACGTTGGTGAAGCACTAAGGTAAGTTCATATTAAAGTCTTACTTTTGAAGATAGGAAATTTATAAGTTTCCCGAAAGTAGGTTAGATTTTGAGTGTTGAATATTTCCTTCTACTGTTGTTCACCCATTATTTCAACGTATAAAGTTGTTAATTTTGGATTGCGTAAGATGGCTGATGAAATTGCATCAGCAATGGAGCAGGAAATGGTGGAAGAACAGGCTATAAAGTGCCCAAGGCCTTCAGCAAAGAGGCAAAGGAAAGGATCTCCTGACGCCCGAGAAGAAGCAGATAAAGAACGTGTAGACGATAGTCTTCTGCAAGATGCACGTAGAATCAAAGAAAACATCAGGGTCTACATGAACGCAACAGACAGGAACGTGAGTGCGAAGGTACAAAAGCACGTTAATGGGAAAATGCAGCAGTTAATAGATATAATGGAGACAATATATGATAAGAACTATGAAAAAACGTTTTTAGTACAACGTGTGGTAAAGGACACATTAGCTTCCTCTGAAATGTATGATATCATAGTAAATGCATTAGTGGAAAAAGCAGTACCTATGGTTATCGAGGGACTCAAGTCGGAAAGTAAAACCATACAAAGACCACTGTCAGAACCTCAGACATCTCGGGAGTTTCCATGCGTTAAAGAACAACCGCTATTAGCCGATGCCCACGCTATTATTGAGACCACGGAGAATGAAAGTTTCCAGGAAGTAAAGAAAAAGCAAAGAAGGAAAAAGGCTCTTCCACAAGTGGCCAAAGAGATCGAGGCCTCTAAACCAATATCAGAGGAAAGTTTGACCAAGAAAAGGTCTACACATCAGACTACGATGGCCGATATTGTTAAAGGGCTTCCATTAAAACCGATGGATACTACAAGACCAACTTATGTTACCATCGCTTCTCAAGGTAAAAGTGCAGCTGACATCATCAACAATCTGCCTTCTCCAACTGAACTAGGAGTCAAGGCGAGAGTTGTACGGGCGACCAAAGCTGGCTCAGTTTTAGTTTGTGTAGATGAGGGTGCCCATGCTAAAAAAATAATTGAATGGCAAAAATTAAAAGAAGTTGGGATGGAGGCAAAACTAGCCTTAAAAAGAAAACCAAAAGTGGAGGTAAAAGGAGTTCCCCTTTCATGGAGTGCGGAAAATCTAGAAAGGGTGCTATGGGAAAGGTTGGCTGCAAAATCGGCCGTTATTTCTGAGAACCAATTAGGTAATATAAAGCCATTGTTCTCATCAATGGCTAGAAATAAAATTACCAATAATTGGGTGTTAGAAGTACATCCAATGGTAAGATATAATCTACTCAAGGAGGAAATAATTACAGGAGGTTGGTGGTCACTGACAATCTTAGATTACCCCGATGCTCCTCCCTGTCTAAGGTGTCAGGGATATGGACATACAAAAGCTACTTGTGAGGCAAATGGCATAGTATGCAAGTGGTGTGCGGCGAGTGGGCATATTGCTAAAAACTGTCCCGCAAAAGGAAATAAGACCGCACCTACATGCGTTAACTGCGTGAGGGAAGGTGTTCAAAAAAGTAAGGCTAAACACCAGGCAGGAAGTAGAGAATGCCCAGTGCACATCAAGAGATCTCAAGAATTAGTGAGGAGAACTCACTATGATTAGACTCAACATCCTGCAGTTGAATATGGGCCGCCGGCATATTGTGGCTGACGAGCTTCGCGCCATGGCACAACGCTACGATATCATGGCGGTCCAGGAACCTAGCTGCCGTGGGAACAGGGTTACGGGGTTTGGCCTCACGTCAAGAGTTATAGCCCTGAGCAGTGGAGAGAGGAGGCCCAGGGCTGCAATAGTGATTAATAATCCTAACCTTGACGTGATGGATCTGAGGCAACACACCATGGCGGATTATGCATCTTGCTACGTTAAGTGGGGCAAGATTTCTTTCACATTGGTATCGGCATACCTACCTGTGAATAGTGATGTAGAAGAAAGCATATCCGCTATGGAGGCGATCATTAGAGAGATGAGGAATGTGATCATGTGCTCAGATACCAACTCCTGGAACACGGTCTGGGGGTCCAATATTACTGACAGGCGAGGCGCTAAAATGGGAAATTTCATAGGCAGAAATCACCTTGTCGTGATGAACGAACCCTCTGCCACCCCTACCTTCTCTGGAGGCATGGGGCAGAGTTGGATTGACGTCACGATCGCCACGCCTGCGCTTACGAGGTATATTGCTGATTGGACTCTCAGATCTGATACGAGTTCCGATCACGTTGCGATAGCAATTGGCCTGGTAAATGAGCCAGGATGTTCCCACGGTACTGATAAGGGTTTCGTCACTAAAATAAATGACTGGAGTGTCTTCAGGTCCTACCTGGAAGGAGTGATTGCAGACGAGGAGTGGGAAGCGGCAGAGATGGATGTAGTTGACAATCTGGACTACAAGGTGTCCAGGATTACCAACAACATTCGTGATGCTGCCGAACACTCCCTCAAGCACCGGAAGGCGAGGGTTCGACCTGTCCCATGGTGGACGCCAGCCTTAACTGTTCTAAAACGAGACCTCTACAAGGCCCGGCGGTCATATCAGAGGTGCAGATGCGAAGAGAGGCGCACTGTACTTCGCAATGAGTACAAGTCAAAAGCCAGGATATACCGAAACGAGGTTCGCTCACAAAAGCGGAAGTCTTGGGATGATTTCATCATTGAAGAGTCTTCGAAGAATCCCTGGGGTATTCCGTATAGGGTAGCATTGGGTAAGTTGTCCCCGATGCAGACTATTGCAGCCTTGCGGTATCATAATACTGAGGCAACCACCCTTGAAGAAACTGCCAATGTTTTCATTGAAGCAATATATCCCAGAGATGACCCAACCCAGGACAGCGAAAATGATGATTTTGTGAGACGCACCACGGTATATCCACCTGGTTCAGATTTGTGCCCACCATGGGACATTCACGATCTTCGTATTGCCGTGGATAAGCAGAAGACTAATCGTGCTCCAGGACTTGATGCAATAGATGCAGCGATCTTGAGGAACAGTATCACGTATATTGAAGACCGGCTGTTGAGTATTTTCAATGAATGTCTGGATATGGGATACTTTCCAAGAAGATGGAAGATCGCTGATTTGAGACTACTCTACAAGGGAGGAGATAGGGACAAACAACTCCCTAATTCATATAGACCTATATGTCTCCTCCCTGTGATTAGCAAGGTCCTGGAGAACCTCATGATGACTAGTTTACGGCCTGTTTTCGCTAGAGCAAGTCATCCACGGCAATATGGATCAACCAGAGGCAGAGGAACCGCTGATGCCCTGCTGAGAGTGCGCAGAGATGTTGAGGAGAGGGCGGAGCGGTATGTCATGTTGCTTCTTTTCGATATATCCTCCGCCTTTGACAGCGTATGGTGGCCTAGCGTGCTCCAGCAGCTGCAGAGGTATGATGCTCCTAGTAACTTATACACATTAGTAAGAAGTTATCTCCAGGATAGAAGTGTCAAGATTAGAGGCAATTACTACGAGGTAGAAGCTTCCATAGAGAGAGGTTGCCCTCAGGGATCGGTGCTTGGTCCTGCTCTATGGAAGCTCGTCTTTGATGAGTTACTGGGAGTGTTAGAGGAGGAGCGGTTTCCTGCCACTGCTTACGTTGACGACCTAGCTGCTGTGGTGGCCTCCAACAGCAGAGCTGGAGTCAAGAGAGAAGCAGAGCGATGCGCCAGCCTAGTCGCTAGATGGTGTGAGGGGAAGAAGATGAGGATGGCTGCTGCTAAGACTCAAGCCATCCTCCTTAAGGGAAAGACTGATAGGGCACACCCTATAACGATGTACATAGAAGGTCAGAGGATACGTCCAAGTGAGGTGGTAACCTACCTAGGGGTTAGGTTAGGTGTAGGCCTCAATATGACGCCTCATTTGGAATATCTGGCAGGTAGGGTGGCCCTAGCAATGAACGGTCTAAGTCGTGTGGGGGGCGCATTTTGGGGCCTTAGGTATCCAGCCACTATCACTATTTATAAGGGTGTTGTGGAGGGTATCCTTAGGTATGCGTCTCCCTTCTGGTTCCGAAACCTCACACTCAGACAAAGAAATAGGCTAGCATCGACTCAGAGAACTGCTCTGCTTCGGGTCACCAGAGCATATAGGTCTACGTCGCATGAAGCAGTGCAGGTCTTAGCGGGGGTGGTGCCTCTCGACCTCCTCCTGCGAGAAGAAGTGACCAGGTATGACTACAAGAAGGAGGGCTCAACTAGTCTATCGGAGAACCTACGGATGAGGATTATTGAAAACCCAAATAAATGGAAAAAGATTATCCGGGAGGAAACAATTGAAGATTGGAGCAGACGGTGGGTGACGACTCCGAAAGGCAGTACCTTAAGAAAATACTTTCCCACCGTTGAATCTCGGTTACAGGCGAAATGGGTCCTCCCGGACTATTGGGTTTCACAATTTCTCACGGGACATGGGGGTTTCAGAGCTAAACTCCATGGCTACGGACAGGATATAGATCCCCACTGCCCCGATTGTGGTGTTCCGGAGACTGTTGAGCATGTGGTCACGGCCTGCACTGCTTTCGACGAATTAAGAGCGAGGTTAATGAGAACCACGGGGATTTACGTCCTCACTGAGGAGGAGTTTCCTCAGTTGGTGAGTGAAGAAAACTTCCCGCGGTTCAAAGAGTTTATAAATGGCTGGAAGACGGCGGTGGGCCCAGCTCACTTTAACCTAGGTGCACGCAGGAGAAGAGGACCAGTCCCAGGAAGACCTCCGGATTCGGGAAGCCAGGCCTAAAGGAGCCAGGAAAAAGTAGAAGAGCTAGCTGTGTGCACAGCTTAGAACTTTGTAAACTGATATTATGGCAGTAGTGTGTTATTATGCATTAATGCTTAACATCACACTACTGCATACACCCGTGTTGCCCTGGTGGCATGGGAGGGTGGAAAACAAATAAAAAAAAAAAAAGAGCCTAACTAACTCTATTTTTTTTTTAATAGTATTTTTTTGACTGATAAATATGATGTGTGATTTAGCAACTCAACGCAATTGAGCAGCCATCTTATATTATTTAAGTTCTCTCTTATTTATTTATTTTTAACATTGCTTTAAATTATTCATGAATTAATTTCATATTGATTTTTTTAAATTGTTTTTTCTACTTGTTTAATGGTATAATTATGCGAATTTAAAACAAATTTATTTTATTGCCTTTAGGATTGTGTACTAGAATGTATCATTCAAATTAAGAGGAATTATTCATCATTTTTTTTTTTATAATTTTCTTTTTAGAGAGAATATATTCTAAACTCTCTACTGGTCTTTTCAAATTTATTAAATTTACCTGAATAAACAGAGCAGTCTCTATCTTAGTTCCCCACCTGGATTTTACCGCTTCAATGGGTAAGGGACAATTTATTACTTGTTGATTAATTTTCATAATTTTGTTTTGTTTACCATAATTTAGTTAAGTTTTTTCACATTTTTACTGTTTCTTAATATGTACCATGCACTGTGCATATCATAAAACATCAAGTAAAACTTTGACTCACACCAAAAAAATTTGGTAATTAACCAGCCAAAATATAGGTCGGGATAGCAAAAATTAAGCTCGTGTGATAAATTACATAAATAAATATAAACTATTAGTTACGTGACATAATAATTTGATCGATTTTTGAAAACAAAGAAATATACAATTCCAAGGGAAATAATTTCAAAATACTCCCAAAACGTACTTTTTCGTGCAAAATAAAACTTGTGTCACCAAATTGGCCTTCTTGTGATTTGAGTTTCTGTCCTAGTTTGACAATTTGGAGGTCAAAACTATACCGTTGCTTATAACATTTCCTGGTATCATAAAATCTCGATTACATCACTGCTTTCTATGGTGGGCGGTCACCCATCCTGGTACTTAACACGCTCGACGTAGATTACCTATTTCAAGCGCCGTGAACCGCTCAGCACAAGTGAACCGATGCGCAAGCAAAATAACTATTATGAATATATATAAGAAAAACAATTTTTATTTTATATTTATCTTTTTTTATTATTATTTCTGTCTACACACACACACACACATTGAAGGAGTACATTAAATAAATAAAAAAAAAAACCTTATGTAAACTAACAAGATATACAAAAACTAACTGAAGGAACTATATACAAAATGCCTAAAGCTATATATAATACATATAGGAAATTGAAACAAAATAATCGCAGCTTAGCTACAAAAATAAAGAAAAAGTATTAAAGTAAATAGAAAGAAACGCAATAAATAAAAAATAAATTCCTCTAATAGCTGAGCACCAACTAAAAATAAATAAAGTAGAGTAAACTATAAAGAAATAAAGATTTATATACCCTATCCTAGTTAAAATTCAAACATTTATGAAAAAAAAAATTAATTAAGCAACTTTATGAGCATAAAATTCTTGTACAAAAGAAACGACAAGGTATGAAAAATATATATACTAGTTCATAAGTTTATGTATATATAAACATACAACCTCACCTGTTTATCGTTCCATAGCCGAGGTAAATTAATATTATTTCTTTCATAAATAACACAGTTCTCCCATGAACCAGGAATTGGAATTGTAAACAACATATTTGATTAGCAAGAGTTCAGTATGATTGTATATGGGTTCGTGATTCAAACTGTCATGGTGCAATCTGTTTATTTGTCCAAAGACAGATTGTAAACAGTCCATTGGCTCAACAATGGGCCGCTTTGATGCCTTCAATAGCGTATGGGGCTATTTGGCCCATTGCTTCCAGCTCCATTAGTTTCTTGGCAGGTTACTACGAAATTCACTTACTGCTTATTTCTGCCTTTAATACTGGCTATGAAATATTAAACAAGGTGTTACATAATACAAAATAATATTATTAATAACCCTTATAAACATTAAACAGGTCCAAATTTCGTCGAACGGTTAATTTTTTAATAATTCTTGAAGTATCTCACAATGAAATGTAATGTAAAATTATTAAATCGTAGTCCTTGGTTTGATAATTCCAAAATAATATTTCAGGAGATATAAATGAACAATAAGAGCTTTAAAGCAGAGTTTGAAATGAAATTTTAAATTTTATTTTTAATGAGTTTCAATATGATTGAAATCTTTACTTTCATTTTTTTTTTAATAATTTAGTTTATTGTATTTTATTTATTGTACATAGAGTGTGAATGTGATCTTTGAACAATATTATAAATGTCCTTGAGACAGATTGTAATATTAAGTGGCGAAGAATCATAAGAGAAGCCCAGGTTCAGACAGGACCTAGGAACAATACTGTCATGATAAATATTTGCTTTAGATGAATAATTATTAGTTTAAATACTTAGAAACTTCTTATGCTGAAATCCATTAAATAAATAATTATTTATAACGTTATCTTAAACATTTCTGAGACCATCGGGTTTATGATCTGAGAAGTTCTTCGATGTACTTTGTTTAATAAAAATATAAACAATAATAATTTTAAGTAAGATTTACTTTTGTAATTGATGATACTAATTAATTTTCCATACCTGTATACGAATTTTATTGATGATTTTTTAACAAAAATTAGTCAATGTGTTTTTAAACAATTAATCATTTTTTGAGAAGATGAATACAAATAGAATATTTGATACGGGGCGTTTAGCTCCAAAACCAGCTTTGTCCAAAATATTGAAAACGAAAATTATTGGAATATTGTAAAAAATTTTAAATGTTGAAATAATTTCCTCAACAGCAAACTGGGACCTTCTAGAAAAAAAAAATACTTCTCTAAAAAAATGTTACGATAACCTTATTCATAGTTTCCGCAATTCGCTTGTTAGGGTTTAGTGGTTAGATGGTTGCTAAATGAAAGTAAGTGCCAAGAAAAAATATAAGAAATTTTCATTTAAAAGCTTACCTGTTTAAAATTGTTACCTGGAATCACAGTTTTTTTTTTCGTGTATGATTTTGCCTTTAAGGAACTCTGAACACAATTTCGTAAAGGTAATTTATTTTCCAGAGTAATTACCACTATTAAAAAAATTAAAAAATAAAGAAGCCCATGGTTAAAGTATATTTATGATAAAACTAGAATGTACACACATTGTATCTAGTTCGAGCCACTGGACCAATGGTACCAACACGGGACGGGTCAACGACCTTTGTTGAAGCATCGAGGTGGAGAACCTTTTCTCCTCAGGTACTTTTGTGGCTAGCCGAGTATGTCAAAGCCAGGTCTATGTCACTTCTTTCCTTCCCAACAATAGGACCTAACTCACTTCCATGGCTCCTCGACCTTTAACTTTTCACCCCCACTCCAATCCTTTGGCTAGACTTGTTAATAGTTATTCCTTAACTAAAGACTTGGTCAGTAATGCAGTGACAAATAAATGGCTTCCTTTAAAGTTCTTCTTACCGTGCTATCTTATAAAACTGAAAATGTTTGAAATAAAAAGATGTTTAAGTACTAAGCAGTTTCGAGAATAATTAATTTATATTGATGGGAAAATTATCTAGAATCATAACTATAACCACCAATGTAGGGTCTGTAATTAAATATTTTGTAAGGAAGTAGTGTTTCTTGGTCAATGGCAGTGCAAGTGTGTGATTTGGTCGAGATCACCATCAACCCGCCAGGTTTTTACTCTTCATTAAATATTTAATTAAGAGTACCAGTTTTATTTATATAGGCCAGGTTTGGAAGATTCTTCCAAACCCAGACTCGATCAAGGGCTGATATAATAAGTTAAATGGCTGAAATTATTCATTGAGATTCTGTTAGTGTTTTGAAACATTACGGGCTCATAAAAATTGAAATTGAAAATCGTTTAATAAAAACGATAAATATTGCAATGAATAAAAACAGAGAAACGTGGTAAGAATCAAAGAACATAGAGTTTATGAGCACTCTAGGAATAAGTCAGGGCTGTAGTCTTACTGTTTACTACTATTTATAATGGTCTTTAACATGGTCTTAAAAAGTGTAAAGACGACAATGAGGCGGCCATTTTGGCTGTGCCACAGAGAGTTAACTCCAGTTTACCACACCTAGCCGATGCTAATGACATAGTCGCATTCGGAAATAACGGAAGTAAACTACAATCCAACTTATCTGCAAATAATTACAAAATAATATACAAATTATCTTACGATTCAAGTGGAAAATAATAAGTATTTACGACTTTTTCGTACTTAATTAGATATACAAAGTTTGCAGATCTCCAGATTCAAAACACCCCAATTGCAAGAGTTCCAGAAGTGTCTTTTACCTTTTAACCTTTTTTTTACCTCCTTATAAGTTTATTAAAAAATAACTAATTCTATGAGCAAAGAATTTTTTTTTTATTATTTAATTCAATTACTTTTCTGTTTACAGTATTATATGCCTTATTAAAAAATGTAGAGTGGGTAAGTCTGTTCAATTACAACTCAGTTAACTTTTGATTTATTAATAATTTTTTTTATTAACGAAATTTACAACTTTAATTAATAATAAATACAACAAGTAAATATGAACAAGTAATATGACATGTACAACATGAAGAGAAACTACCCATTGGTAGCACTCCAAATATTAATAATTAAGTCAGAAAACTCTGATAATGATAATGTTTATTAAGACTGAAAAATATCAACAGAGAAGTTATATAGATGTTTAAAATTTATTGGAATTTCAATGGTGAAATAAACTTTACTAATCAGGTTACAGATTAATTTAAGTAGTGCTAACTAGTTGCGAAGATTGTTAAACTTAACCGTAACAAACTCATATTAGATGTATCATCGGTTTCATACGTTTAATCAAACTTGATATTAAGCTTAGCGAAAATATGAATATCTTAGTAAATAATTCGATACCCTTTCTGAAACGTTCATAAAATAAATCAACAATTGCTTATGGACTCACATTAAGAATACAAGTAATTTTATTGAGTATTGCTCAGGCGTTGAAGAATGAATTTTTTTCCTATAAATAAAAAAAAAAACATATTTTCTTTCTTGGGAAAAAATAGGAACTACGCGGGTCGATGCAACATGTGACCGAATTCAGCAGGACAAAAGTCAATAATAAAATTCAAGATAAGCTTTAAATGAGAAATGTGTTTATACCAATACGAGAGATCTTAGTAAAAAAAACAAAAAAAAAACAACATAATTCATTCGAGGACAACGCGAATTGAGCACTTGAATAGCTAAATAATACCTATTCAAGTATTCCAAATTTTGAATATAAGTTAGTTCATTTTATCTAATTAAACACTATAGGGGTGTTGCAAATTATTAAACGAATCAGTGCGATCAAGAACATATTTAATAATGTCATTTCCCTCCCCACTCCCCCTAGTTTTAGGCTATTTTAGACTCTCATTATTATGATTTAAGTCAATTAGTAACATTCACCTATATTGAAAACTGTTCCACGTTTTAGTCTCTAACTCTTCACGTGCGCGACTTAAATTTTAAATCTTAGTTAAACATTAGCAACATGTTACATAAGCAAATCTTTGAAACTTAATCGCCCGTTCCGCCTCTTTGAACGTTTCAAGTGGAAAACTCTGGTTTACAGAACAAGAATTATCTAAAGCTTCGCGAGCAGGAAACACAATGGTTTTAGCAAATAGTAAACATTTACTTGGTTGAGCATGCGAATTAAAAATTTGGTTTTAGAACAATTAACCAATGTTTTGAGATAAAATTAGGCACTCCAAGACATATCTTTTCTGATCATTAATAAGAGATTCTCAGCAATAAGACACTGAAAAGACTATATAGTGAATTACTCAAATCAGGTTTGTTGGTATTGTAATATTGAAATATCATAATACTGTTATTCATCTATAGGTTCCGAATTACAAAAATTAGCGATTTCATTAAAAAAAAAAATTGATGAAGAGTAATTGTATTCTGATCTGAAAAAAATCATATATTCGTTTCTTCAGGTAAGTATTCTAAATTTTATACATATATAAATACATATATATATATATATATATATATATATATATATATATATATATATATATATATATATATATTATATATATATATATATATACATAGTTCTTTTCAGAAGAAGCACCATTTACTAGGAATGGTGTATTTTATTTTAGAAATACCTTTAATCCAGCAAAATCCTCTTGCCACTAGTCCAAATGACACCTGTCGCAAAACAGAACAGATAGCAGTACCGCACCTTCAGAAACCCCACAAGCGGAATTTATTTAACTAGAAATTTCTCCGACAACTTTCATTGGCGAAAAATGATGAAATTATCGAAGGTAAGTGCTCGGAACACTCAATGAGGATAAGCTGTTTTCGCAGAAGTATATGAGAATATTTAATGCATTCGAGCCGTTAAAAGCCATCATTGAAGTTGCCTTGTTTCATTTAAAGTTGCTAGACATCCCCGCTAATCAGTTTACTGTACTTTTAATAATGCTTTAAATCCAGCTTGTTATGGTGAAATTAATTCATTTTAAATACAAAACATTCGTAGATAATTGAAGGTTCATACTTCATTATGATGAAAATTTAGTGTTGAATACTTTCTATACATCTAAAAAATATTATTAGAATTTTGTAGCATATTGTAACATTTGATAATCTTTGAAACATTTATATGGTGAAACATACGCTTGATATATATATATATATATATATATATATATATATATATATATATATATATGGTGTTACAGATATATATATATACGGTATCCATTCGATTGCTTATGATAAAAACTAATCTACTTAGCTACTCAATTTTATATGATATTATATCATGTTATGGCAATATACTTCAAGTTATGAAAAAAGTTGTACTACATACAAAATGACATAATTCCATAATATTTAAAATAGTACTAAAATAAGCATAAAGTTAGAAAAGAGACATGATATAATTACGTTATCAATGGAAAAATCCAAACTAAAAAGCCACGAGTCTCCAACACAAGTTCATAGTTGGGGAGCCAACGTTTTGCCAATTCAGACATCTTCAGGGCAGAAAAACCAAGATCAATTATATAAGAAAACATTTTAAAAAGTAATAATAATACTGTATACATCTCATGAATTCATCCAAATACATACTGAAGAAAATAAAAGGTTCTACTAGCTCAGCTAAGAAAGGTTGTATTTAACATTTAATTAGCAAATATACAAGGTAATATGATACAAGGTAATTAGCAAATATACAAGGAAGAAAAACTAACAAAAAAAAATTTATGCAACTAAAATATATGTTACAAAACGTGTTAAATATAATAAAATAACAAATTAATAAATTCAATAGAAAAATCTCGAAAGGATTTATGGCCTCCATTTCTAACAAAACGCAGTGGACATATGGCTATTGCACAAGTAACATTACTAAAATAAACATAAACCTAGAAAAGAGACATAAGGTAAGAACTTTTCGAACTTTTGAAATTATTAATTTGTTATTTCATTTTATTTAACACGTTTTGTATTACATATTTTAGTTACTTTTCTTCCTTGTATTTGAGCTTTTAAATATAATCTTCTTTAGCTCTGTTAATAGAACCTTCTCCTTCCTTCAGTATGTATTTGGATGGCTTCGTGAAATGTCTACAGCATTTTTTTTTAACTGCAGGGTCGTGGCTTTGTATTTTGGATTTTTCCATTTAAAACATTTTCAATAGGGAGCCGAATTAGCAGTACGGGCTAAGGTGCTTGCAATATGTAATCAAAGTTAAACAACGTCGAGCGTGGACAGTACCTTGATGGGTGACCGCCCGATTTGGGTGACCGTTCACCAAGGAAGGTCATGCTGCCGAAGTCTCTTCTCTCCACTGGTACGTGAGCCCCATCAAACTACTGGAGGCAACTCACACCGACCGGTCTTAGTATTGATGACTCTACCCCATGTACTTATATCGTGAATCGGGATGCGGTTTACCAGAATCTTAGTAGCCTCCTGAGGTATGATCCATAGGCGGTCTGATTCGAGGAAAGAAATGTAGATCCTCGTCCTCGTCTGAGGCTGAGCAGCCATAATGCATGGATCTAGACCGATTTGTCACTGTTCTTCCCACCAATTGGAAGGGCACTGTCAATTTGAGCCCAAAGATATCTGCTATGAAGCTACCGGTGGCCTGTCACTACACCATGGAGACCATGGTAGCAAAGTGAGGTTGGGTGACCCTCTCCAGGCGATCTGTGCTTCCGCAAGCAATATACACTGTAAGGAGAACAAATCTCGCGACCAAAGATCTTCATGGCCAAGCCAGATAAACGGTTGGAAATAAAATTATAGCCATCGTTGGTAGTCATATTTTA